ATTTTTAAACCTTAATATTATAGTATATACAATCCTAAAAGTATAGTTTAAAATAACAGTCATTAGATTTAATATTAATAATAAGCTTTTTAATTTATTTTATAAAATATGATGTATTAGAAGTGATGATACGGCCTATAATTATTAATGCTTATTCTTATTTGTATACCCAGGTTTTTATATTTTACATAAACTTTATCCTATGTTATATATAGTATATAAAAGATACAGCAATTTTATAATAATTAAAAACCAGTTTTTTTTACACATACTTGCTCATATTCAGGATTTACAAAATCATCTTGAAATTCTTTGATATCAGATATATCTGAATCCATTTTTGATTGTAATTACTTAATTAAAAAATTGCGATCAAAAGAGGAATTTTTATTAAAGAGAATATTGGTTACAATTAAAATAATAATGATGCATAAACTATGCAATCATGCGTCCGTCCGTACTAACTTGCATTACCGTACTGTACTACACTTATGGATCACGTTTTCCGGATCTATCATATCTTTTTTTTAAGACTTCATGAACTTTATGTTCGATTGTAATGAAAGTCTGATAATCTTAAATGATAACAGATTCAATTTATAATTATTATGTTGATTTAGAAGAAGCATTAGTAAGCCAAACTTGAATATGGTCGATGAAAATTTGGTTTCGACGTACAATATGAGATTTTTGCCTTGAAAATAACCTTACGGGATTATGTAAATTTTATGGATAAATATTAAAATTTCTAGCCCTCTAGTAATCTAATTTAAACAAACTTTTTTTTTTGAATTGGATTACTGGATGGTTGGAAATTGTAATTTTTATTCATAAAATCTAAGTCCCGTAAAGTCATTTTCAAGGAAAAGACCCATATGTTCATAATAAGTTATTTTCTAGTAACACGTCATAAAAAAAATAAACTCCATTATGATTAAAAATTATATTACTTCCGGAATCTTGACATGACCGGAGATTTTTCTAGTATTTCCGGCTAAAAATAGAACAAGATTTTATCTTTTTCATTGATTAAATAACTCGACTATTTCAAGCAAGAGATGGTCACAACCATGGAAATTTTCAACTATTTAGAGCAAAATTTTGCTTGATGTTTAATGATTCGGTAAAAACTTCCAAAATAGGTCAGTCATTTGATAATTCAATCAAATATTCGAAAAAAATTTATTGAATGCAAAAAGAAAAATTCTTCTCATAAAAATAGTTATTGTTCATACAAAAAAAGCTACTTGCATTAGACTTGTTGCTTAATTTGCGTATTTTTTTTTCTTAAAACACCAATAAACCGATTTATATGTATAAAATAAATAAAATGGGACCCAAATTATTTTGTAGCCGAACTCAAATTATAATGCTGTTAATCATTACAGCAATTTTCGTAAGATTTGCAGGTATGGTATATATGCATCTATCCACTTCTAAATGACAACAATATTAGCTACTACTGCTACTACTACGTGCGTGTTGACTTTTTAACGTTCAAATCCAGTTACACAGAAAGCAACTGGAGCACCAGCAGCACCATCACCAGCACCAGCAGCACCATCACCAGCAGCACCACAACCACCAACTCGAGCACCAGCAACAGTAGCACCAGCACCAGCAACAGCAGCACCAGCACCCGCAACAGCAGCACCAGCACCAGCACCCGCAACAGCAGCACCAACTGGAGCATCACCAGCAGCACCACCAGCATCAATTGGAACACCTCTAGTATCAACTGGAACAACACCAGCAGCACCAACAACTGGAACACCATCAGCACCAACTGGAACACCACCAGCAGCACAACCAGCATCAATTGAAACACCACCAGCATCAGCAGCATCAGCAGCATCAACTGGAGCACCACCAGCACCAGCAGTAACAACTGGAGCACCACCAGCACCAGCAGCAACTCAAACAACTTCACTTCCACCTCAACCGTCTTTGTCTACATATTTCCCCTCTTCTGTTGATAATAGTTCCAAACCTACGCCTGCGCCTTCGCCTGCGAATCCTCCGAAAATTACTGTTGCCCGACATTATACATCTATAGCTGATGTTTGTTCAGATAATCCAAACTGTAAAACAGAGTATGTTTTAAACTCGACTCTTATTATATGACAATTAAGATCAAATTTTTTTTTAAAAAATCAAATTTATACCTTTTGTTTGTTTCTCTTTAAAGCACCAAACAAGGTAGTGGTAAAACTGTAACTTCAGAAGATCATGACATTCATATCACGACTATCCTACCACCTGGCTACGATAGCACAACAATAACTGCATTCGTAACTAAAATAGTCACGGTAACTGTTACAGTATATGTTCCAGGCTATACAACTACACTTACTGAGAACGGAATACCCTATGAAACTTACTATCCACCAAGTACTATGATTATCTTGGAAACTGTCACTTCTGTTGCACCCGTTGGATTTGAGTTCGTAGATAGCAAAGCAAGAAGATTAGATCATTATGGTTTGTTTAATAAGCATAGTGATGGGTTAGCGGGTGTAGTTTTAAGTTTATGGATGGTGATGTGGAGTTTAGTATATTTAATTTTATAAATATATAAATAAATACTGTATAAATTTATCTTACCAATTGTACACCTGAATAGAAATGGCAATGGCTAATCATTGTTAGTATCATTAGCATACCAATTGTGATTACTAACGATACGATAGATAATAACTTATTAACCGACACGAACTGGTATTTAAGAGTGATTAAGTGCTATGTTAAATGCATAAAACAACCTGTGTCGGTTTTTGTCGATCCTAGTGATTCTGCCCAAACCTATTTTTTAGGCTTTGACATTGCTACATAGTTTGGGTTTGAACATTAGAATTTCTATATATTTTGGACTCAAAGCCCAAACCAAAATTTATTTTTATAATATCGTATATATATTTTTGTATTTATAATATATAATATTGTTGTAGTTGGGGAGAGCCTTCCTTATACGTTGCCGGTTTTAGCACAGTACTACAAGCATAAACGTGGCCTCAACTTGGCTATTAACTGATTGACGGGACTAGTCTGGGGTGGTCCCGATTGCTGGATTACTGGTGGGTCGTCGTGAGTCACATGACTAATACTAACAGGTTGAGCTTACATAGCGTCACCTAGCAAAAATGGTAGCCGGAAGTATTTGCCAGTTTCGGAGTAAATCTTAGTAATGATAATTGAATGTTAGGCAATCATTTTAGCTCCCGCTATAGAAATTTTATATAATTAACAATGAAAATAATTACTGTTGTCGTTATCAAGGCACTTTACCTTTCATTCGTCATAGCAATTTACTATTACTTTCATCATAATTTACATTGCTTATTATATTGTTCTATTACTTTCATTATAGCAATTTACATTGCTTACTATATTTTATTATTTAGTCTTTCGTTATAGCGATCTACATTTCTTCAAAAGCACTATTACAAAAAAATAAATATTTTCAAAGAAACCCCTATAATAGCGATCTTATCTACTTAATCTATTCAAATAAAAAAAACATAGATCATATTAACAACAATGTCAAACCATTTAAGCAAAACTTGTGTCAGTTGTCATATTGTATAGGCCTCTGATAAATTCTTAAATCATAAAGAAGTTTCTGTAAAAAAATGTTATCAATGCCAGAACAATATTAAAATTACATACTCAAAAAATAATGAAACCAATTGAATTCAATAATAAACTATTTGGAGTTACAGAAATTATTTATGATTCTCTAACCTCTTTAAATAATACTAATAAACATTACAAAGAAGAAAATGAAGAATTAAATGTAGATCTTAATGTTGAGCTATCTTCTTTTATTGATTTTATATTAGAAAATGATGAATCGAAGAAAGAAAATTTGGATTCTAGTATAAGTCAGCAAGTAATATCTTTCATTTCAGATAATAATGGGTATTCATAGATTTATAGAAACAGAAAACAAAAAAAATTCTATTTTTTTTATCTATTATTGTAACCATCAAATTGAACTTGGAAAATGACAATTAATATTAAATATAATTATCATTATTAGCTAAATTTGATTTATTGACCTATTAATGAAAGTTTTTGAGATAGTGATATAACTTATAAATTTTAATAATATAAATAATTTATGGATTACTTTTTTTTTTTTTTTTAAATATTAATGATGAGGCCATGCCTTTAACTTTATTGAAATTCAATTGAAGTTTTTATAAAGAAA